ATTATAGTTTTTTTTTCTAATTACTCTAAATTATTTATTATCATTATAAGTTTTTTAAACTATTATAAACACATTTATTATAAACACATTTTATGAAATAATACATGTGTGTAAGAGGTACTAAATTAGAAAACATACATATACTTATATATCGATATCTTTTAATGAGTTCTTTGATTTTTTTCTCAGTGAGTTAATAATAAGGGAAAAATTAACAGACCTCTTTGCTATAATATAGCAACTCGTTATATCCTCGTCAACGCAATACACATATATATATATAAATTAAATGCGGGCAATATAGATAGTTGATCTCATGCCTATTATACCGGTTTGGTATATTTTTTTCTCAAGTTTTTCTGCAAGGCGAGCACGACTCAATAATTGACATGTCTTGAATAAATAAATTAATAGAATCATTAGACCGACAGCTTGATAACGTCAGAATAACTTCAGATAAATTTATCGGTCATTGACTTATGAAAATAGGAGTTAACGATAGATATTACATTACATCACATCAACATAAATATGTCATTTCAATTTTTATAAATTATTATTTATAAATATCATAAAATCTCTTTAAAATATTAAACGCAATATCCAACAGATATATCAATGCTTTTGACGAAGACTTTCTAATTTTCTTTTTGCAGCATGATAGATATGAGAAATTAATTTATCGTAAAGTTCTCGTGACGTATCGCGCCAATATCTTTCAGATGAAAAGCCCAAAGTTTCTAATCCCATAAATATCGATGAAATGCGATGAGTTGTTATCGCGGATGATAAATATTCATCGTCGATCATTTCGTCGCCGAGCGCGCGAAGACAAAACAACGGAATGAAATACCCGCGTAATGAAATACCACGGCGTCCGCCCGCATTGCTCTGTCATTTTTTTCTCTCTCTTGTGGGTAGCAAACGCAACTTCCGAGCGAGAGAACGATCAACACTCGCGGTCGCACCGTGCTGTTCGATCGACGATACCGCTTCGTGACCGTAAAACAAATCGCCATGCGAAATCGTGTCGCCGCAAAATACCGTCGCTCGCATTTTTTACCTTTTTCACAGACACATGTCGTTACGTCGATGGTTTTTTTTCTCCCTTCTTCTCGCGATCGACCACGCGTTCGCGGATGGAGATATCTGGCCAGCGTAATCTCGCGTCACGGTCTTACGCACAAGTGTGCCGCACTTTGTAGACGACCTCGTAGAAACGAAGGTGGCGATGCCATCGATGGCGAGTAGCAACGAGAGCGATGATTCTCTCTAAAATTACTTCCTTCGCTTCGCGCCTGATGTCTCTCGATATTCGCATTGTCATCTGAATTTCCGCTCGACTGACCATTGTGTCGTAATCGCGAGGCTGATCTTCCATTCCGAAGGTTTCTCCTCGTCATCTCACCGCCGCCGGGAGCTCTCAAGAGTTAGCAATGTTAGCATCCCGATAGAATGCTTTTCGCCTTCACCTTGCCTTTGCTGGTGTGAGTGGAGATGGGACTGTCGCTTACAACGCGAACGCTGAATCGAGATTGCATATAATTTTACGTAAACGAGTTCTTTTCCACCTTTCGTGCTTTTACGTTTAATTTTATTATTGCGTGACGATGATATACTGAGGGAGCACGAAAAATTTTCGAGGAAGATATAATCACTAAAATTGATCACATTAATTGTGCTTCAAAGAAACAATTAACGTGTTAATAACGGAAATATATAATTATGTGAATTATCCAGTCTATCTACTCTACTTTCGTGTAAAATTAAAAAGGAAACTAATTCGCGAGCTGGCCATTGACACAGTTTTTAAATAAAACTCTTTCATTTTTGCTTTTAATTCTAAATTTCTAATTCTAATTACAGAAAACAAAAAATCAATAAATGCATTCAGTAAAAACTAATTTTAGAACGTAATATAACATTTCAATATAACAATTTCAAATATAACAAAGAGACAAAGATTAAAGTGGGAAACCTAAAAATCTTATATATTTATGTAAAATTCTTTTTTTACAGAACACTTGTCTAAAATATTACCACTTATTTCAAATCTATTTTGTACATTTTAATTATGCTTTACACATACATTGCGTTTGCTATGTGCTTTGTCAATTGGTAAGAGTCAAATAATTAAATAAAATTCAATATAATAGTCTAAGATATAAAATGTATTATACTCTGTACATTGAAATTAAAATCTTTGACTCTTGCATGCCCTTTCTAATTTTTATTGTTTTGTACATTAAGAGTTCTTTATTCTTGTTTAATTTAATGGTCAAGTTGCATTTATTGATATGACTTCTGCGTGACTATTCCTAAGTCAACTTAGATTGATGTTGTTCATTAGATGGCTAGATCGATGGTTGTTCATTAGATGGCTAATCAACAAAGTAAATTATCCTGAAGGCACGCGACCGCGTTTGATAAGAATCAGAAACAAGAAAGCGTGTGCGTCTATAAAAAAATCATAAATAGTCCGCGCGTTTATTTTCTTTTAATTAATAACGTTATTAATTAAAAGTGCTGTCAATCGTGCGCCATTAGCTTGTTGTCTTTTCACGTACTCTCTGCGATACGATCATTATTTCATATTTCGCCGAATAAATGTTCGCTTCATTGCATCATTGCATTGCGAGTTTCGGTCCATCAATTACGTTTCGTTTACGGCAATGTGTTATTGCATTACGATCGTAAGATAATAACCCGGCCGCTCGGAATTATATGTCGAAATGATCCGCGGCATACATCAACAAAAAAAAAGACATTAAATCACTGCACGTCCTGTCGTTAAATTTCTGATATCGATCGTTGCATCGTAAAAAGATGCTGTTGTAATCAAAGTTTCAGAATTCCGATGATCTTAGAGCCGCTACTGCAAAAATCGCCTGTCCGAACATTAAATCTGCAAACGTATATTGCCTCCGTATTTGCCTTCGCACAATTAGCTTGTTCCGTTCCGATAAACTGCACGCGCAGTGTTCGATTTTAAAGTTAAACCACCGAGCGGCCAGCTGATTCGCCTTGACATTGCACCGGCAATGAAAGAAAATCATGCGAAAAGAGACTCGACGGAAAGCGGCCGTGGCGGCGCGGCGGCTCACCTTGCCTTTGATACGGAAATCTCGCAGCAAACGAACCGCAGCGAACAAACTCGGTATTGCTTCGATCGTGCCGACACTCGAGGTAATCTTTATCCGAACGATTAACTCGAGAGGCAGCTAGTTCCGTAATTGTGCTCGAGAAATGATGTCCTTCGACAATGATGATCTCCTCAACGCGTCTGATACCTGATCATCGAGAGGAATCGGACATAAATCGGCTGTAACGATTTCATCAACAGCTTTACGTAAGGAAACGATATCGCGAGGAAGAAAGAAATTCGGACCTGATGATTTATTTCCCCTCCCCTTTTACTCCATCTTTTTTTGCGTTTGCGTAAGAACCACATAAAATTCATGATGCGAGGACGGATTTTCGAAGCGAATGCATGGCGGTTTTACGTCATCCTAATCCAACGAGAGTTGGATTGCAGCTCTCTTCATTAATTTGATTGTGACTATTTGTCTTACGACATCACGGAGCGCGATAGATTAGTGATTGAGCACGCGATGTAGCTATTAAGTTAGAATGGAAAATCACGGTGATAATAATGACTGAACTTAGCAAATAAAAGTATTCTTAATAAGAAGCAGATAAAGAATAAGAAAAATTAACGAAAAAGAAAAACTTTTTCATAATGGATCCAATATTTATCAAAATCTGGTTTCTAGTCAGCTGCGAACGCGTGTCAGGCCGACGCAATGAAAATGTTAAGTAGCATATTTGCTTGTAAATATCTGACAGAGGTGCTATTTAGAGAAATGTATAGGGTCATAAATTTCTGCGGCTTACGGTGGAAATTGTACATTGGAAACGTGGTCGGCGATCGATCAACCGTAAAAATTGTCACGCACCTTCGTCACGGACGATATAACTTCACAGATCAGAAAGAGAGAGTGTACAAGTCGACAAATAGGCAAAGGGATATAATTCCAAGGTTTTACAGCGCGCAATTTTCAACGGAGACGCATGGTCATGCGTTCAACATTCTGCTTGTTCTTAAAGTCTGTCTCAATAATTTAAAACCTATACTTAGCGTTGTTATGTGGATAGTACCATTATTTAGCAGTCTGACAGTCTTGATCAGCGCGATACACCGATAATTATCGTAATAACGGTTACTTTTCGGACAGTCGTAACGGTCGAAATTACTCCGGCGATGATTCGATCGCTTGTTGCGTTACGAAGAGCAAGTTTCGTCAAACAGCTGTTACTTCGTGAGAATCCGAGTGATTAAACGCTACGCGAAAGCACTCTTATTTTGTTATAATTAATAACCGACGGTTTATATGTGGAATCAGCGAAAAATGTCATTCTTGACTCTTTAGTGTGTATCTTTCGTACGTATCTATGTAAATCACTGCAATACTGGACGTGTGAATGTTCATTAGGAAAGATTCTCTCTTATTGTTAGTTAAGCGTGGTATCGCGTCGCGATTTACAAGAAGCAGTTGCTGCATTATTTCGTAATAGAGTTAAAAGATTTAAGATTAAACATTTGAGTTAGGATTACTTTTCTTCTTAGGTTACGCTTCTTTTACACAACAATTTTCACAGCCTTATATAATGTAGGAATTAAAACGAGATGCTCTCGTTTCGCTCTTAGGAATTTCCATAAAATTGATTTCAACATTGAATTTTTCATTGAATTCACATTGAATTCAATAACATTTCAATGACAATGATTTTCAGTGACAACAAATCACATTGAATTGTTATTACAATTATTATCCCGTTTAGGAAATTTCTTTACTTTTGTGTAAAGAAAGTTTATTAAGAAACATATACTAGTCGCTATTTACTTATTTATTAAAAACATAGAGAAACTCTTAAAATTCGATGCGAACTTCACTAACGTATTTTTATGATAATTATAAATTAAAAAATTCTAATTGCAGATTGTTCTAGTCGTATTTGTCATGGCCGTTCTGGCGAGTGCCTCGGCGCAGGATTTCAGACATTTTTTCGCGGGATTTGGTCCTTATGGCATTCAAGCCTCAGTAATGAGGGATCCGAGATCGAATAGGGGTAAGTTTTTATTTTTATAGTAACAACTAACATAAGATTATATTATACACTGTTAAATCTGTAGTGCCAAATTTAACCAAATTCAAGTCGCCATTGCTTTTATATATATTCAATATATCATTATTTTATATTACTAAATCAATGATTATAATTTTAAAAATTGTCAAAGGAGAAGGACTGTTGTTAAATGCTAATGATTAATCTATCTTTAATATCCAATCGATATAAACATTTAATATACAAACGTTTCAACCTTTATCAGGTCATCCACAGTGTAAAACATAAAGATTAATTGAAAATAAAAATAAAAATAAAAGAGTCGCATAATATCAGTTACATAATAGTTAATTATTTAAATATAACATGTTTATAGTCATTAATTAAAATTTAAATTGTTATAATTGTCATTGACACTATACGACAGTTATAATATCAATTTGACATTATATAGTGTCAATTTGACGCTACACTGAGAAAAATGTTTGATTGAAAATGGACAAACGAGAAGATTTTGATTAAATCAATTCCGCTTATCTCGACTAGAATTTTAGTAGATTTAATCAGAAAATTTTTTTACAGTTTTAAATTTAACTAATGTTTTGACTTAAAATAACGATATATTGAGCAGTGGTCATTTAAATTAAGTTAAATTTGACATTGTATGTTTAATAATAGTTAAAAGACGGATTTGACTGAAACTTCAGTAGATAACAGAATATTGATGTACAATAATATTTATTTTTAGTCATTATAGCCAGATATGCATTACATCGTTGATATTTATTATAAAATAAAATTTTTTAAATAAAATTATAAAATTGTAAATTAATCATTTGATAAATTAATTGAACATAGATTTGTAGTATCGCTTATAAGATTTTTCCTGAAATGCACTTTTATAACTACGCCTACTTCAATTTACATAATCCGAAGATGATTTGTCGGTATATTATTACTGTGCCCGACGGCTTACTATAAAACAATTATGCTTTCCTTTTTTGTTCATACGCTATTATTAGATGTTTCGAAGTGCTCAGTGATTTATGGTATGCTTCGGAAGTGTTCGTTCTTGTATATCCTCCACATTATCAGGAAGCTGGGAATCGTGCAATTACGATAATTTGTTCTTATATTTTCTTCTATTTGTATACCCCCGCGAAGAAACGGCCTCGTTTCATCCGCAAATAATGGTAGGCATTCTAATATCGTTCGCTAGAGAATTCCTCAATCGTTCGAAAGTTCTTCCTCAATATGATAGATTCTTGGAAACAAAGTCTCATTTACGATGTTATTGAAAGATGTAACAAGGTATAATCGCGACAATTATTATTTCACGTATTGTTATAAAAATCTTATAACGCGATATATATGGGGAAGCGTACAATTTTATAATAAATATTTTTAACAATTTTAATCATTTCTGTTCAGAAATTTAGTAGATTAGATATTAATGTGTAGTTCTACGGAAATATTTGAGGAAAATTAATAGCTGCAGCTTATTATCCGTATCGTAACTATTTATATAACGTTCTGGGCACGCTTGACAATATAACAATCGTTTTTATGATGGTTTGTGTCCGTTCAGCCGTAAAGATCCTAGATATAAAAGGAATGCTCTTTGAAGTGCGCTGTCGTATAATCAAACAACTGATTGCGATCGAGAGGAACGAGTCTGAATCGAATCGTGTAATGTCTTGTTATTGATGCAGAATCTATCCTGCTCTTAGGTAGTGTAGAACTTTTACCGGAACAACACAGCTAACTAGAAATTTACTTGAACACGTGCGTGTAACGGAAGGAAAGCCAAGCCATTTGATTTTATATGTAAACTTTGTAATTTAAATTATAGTAAAATTCCTGAATGCATTACGATAATCGGTGCATTTCGTTCAATTACTATGCCGTAATATTTTTATAATATTTATGTATTTAAAAAAAACATTATTTGAGAATAAGATTTTGTCGATTTTGAACTCCATTCTAATATAATCGTTTTACAACCAACGTAAAAGAATGTAACGTAACAATTCCAGATTATGATATCACACTGACGTTGTTACTTCTAAAGTTGCTCGAATAGCTCAAACTACATTATTTAAATGGCTTGCGCAGGATACGTGATCCTTGCAACCTGTTCGAGCGATAGTATGCGCATAATAAACGGCTCTGGAATGAGTGTCAAGTTCAAATTCACATACAATAAATAATGCGTCATATATCGTGTATCTGACGGAATACTAAACAAGTAGCCCATGCAGCATAAATCACATCTTAATCTGCTAAAAACTAGCTATTTTAATTTTTATAAGTCTAAGAGAATTTAAAATACATTACAAAAATATATTTATTATACATTTTACGACATTCATACTTTTTATTTATTTCATACATTAAATTATTACATTTTTCTTGGTACTGATATATTCCGAAATAAACCTTATTGCAATATTAAATAATTAATGCTTCTAATTTATTTTCTGCTCTGATACTTTTTTTTTCATTGCGTTAAGACTACCGCTTAGAAAGTGATTATCAGGATAACATGAAAAGCTTACATCAGTCAAACATATCGTTTTTTTATTACTGCATATTTATAGCGATTATTCACGGAAGATAAGCTCGAGTATTTTGTTACTACTTTATCGCAAACAATAGGAGAAGACTACTAGACGGAAACTGACGTTTATTACCCTGCTAGCTGAATGCTAGGATCGTCAAGAAAATTATCTTAATAAATCTAAATAGTATCTGCGCCCATATAATGTCATGTCAGTAGATCTATTAATAATACGGCATATGATCCACTTCCTCGTGTTAGAAAGGATTTCCACTACTCCTTCGTAGATAAGTGCAACTTTCCTTTAATCCCACACACTATACGTAACACACACTATAGTGCCATTAGCAGTTGCGGTTTGTTAAATATAATAATATATAATATGCGCGCACAGTAAACGAAAATAATTTGGAGACAATTTTTATTTAGAAATTTCTTATTTATTTTCCTAAATTTTAGATATTGATAAAATTACTATTGCTATAAATGTAATTAATAATACAAAAATTTAAATATTGCTGCACTAATCACTATGAGCGACAAGTGATTTAAGGAATTTCAAGGATATGTATTTGTATAAGAATTTTATCATTAAATTTACAAAAAATGAATAAAAATATAAAGAGATATTTATTTTCTATAAACACACATTAAACAAAACTCTTAGTCAAGTTTTTGCAAAGTTGAAAGTTCTTCGCTGTTTACCATTACATTTAATGATTCTGTTTACTGTATGCAATCAACCGTGCATCGTTACTTCACCAATGACCATGAAAGTCAAATGATCTTTGTAACTGTTGTGAGCATCCAATCAACTCAATTCAATCTCGTCAAACGATCTCGGTAACGATCCTATAGATCTTGTATACCTCTGCGTTAATATGGAATATATAGATCACTGGAGATTAATAGATTCACGAGAGAATTTACAAGTACGCTATTCGACTACAGTATTTGGCTATAAATTATTGAACGTTGATATTACTAAAACATTGACTAAGGCCGATATTTACAGTCAGATCTTATATTCAAGATCGTCTTAAGTACAGTCTTAAGAAATCACGAACCCGTCAGAAGGCCATATTAGCCATTTTAGAACATTACTTAAGACATCTTGAAATAAGAATGGACTATGAATATCTAAGATCTTTTTGCGAAGATTATTTCAAGATTATATCAAACGCTTTTCTTCTTACATAATTCAAGATAAGTTCCCTAAAAGTTTTGATATATCTATTGACTAGCTGGAAATGTAGAATAAAATGGAGTTTGTATTTTTGATATCGAGACGAACAATCGTGAGAACAAAAGCAGCCTCTAAAATGGGATTACGCGATAATGCGTTTTAACATGCGTTTCTCCTTTCGTAGGTCCAGTATTATTCCCACCTGGGCCAGCTCCCAACAATGCTGATACCAGCGGCGTCGTCGTGGGCGCGAGTGGATACGGATTCGTGCCACCCAGCTCAGGTAATTCGTTCGGTTTCTGAGAATCAAAAGAAATCCCGCTGCACCCCCGTTCTCCCTAAAAAAAAAGAGAAAAAAAATAGACGAAAGGAATCGGTGGTGGAATACAAGCCGGCGAGCTTTTACGTGACCAGTCTCTGCATGTAAAACAACCCAAAGAATCGTCGAGGATAACGGAGTAGAAAATGGAAAGACAGATAGGAGGAGAGAAAGGGAGAGAGTAATATATCTTATCACACGCAATACCTCGTTCCTCTGCACTCAACTTATGTATGAACACTATTTATTGTTGTCATTTATGAAATAACATAGTCTACACATTTCCCCAATCCCTAAATTTTAATTATTATATCGAGGATGCATGTTTATGTGCGTTGTGCATGTACGGCACTATGACGTATTTATTGTTTTACGAGATGTTCGAAAAGTCATGCGTGACTCCATGATACGCATATTAACACTTTAAATCCAGCAATGGTATTATATGATAAAGAAATATATTTTACGTGACTATAGTGTTAAGTATAAAGAGCATGTCAATTATTATAATTATGCAAAGTTTTTCAAAAGTCGCTCGAAAAAAATATTACACATATTTATGATAATATTGCTGGTTTATTAACATTGCAAATGTAAAACATTAATATTTATGTCAATGAATCGTAACTTAAAGCGATATCGAATCTTGCAATATTGCATTTCGATACGCAGTATATTAAAATAATGAACGTGATCGCAAGCTACGTGAAAGTTCGGACATTCTTATAATTGTTAAGTTACGTTGTACATAAATACGTTGTAAATTAATAAAAAAAAAAGAACCCTCAGCATATAATCGTCGTAAATCTGACGTACGCATAAGCGTTGTAATTTTTGATCTCCTCTCTTGTTATATGTAAAAATTGGCTTATTAAAAGATGTGTGAGTCACTCGATCCTCCGACTGCGGTGTCGAATACATCGTTGCTCTGAGAATTGGCAGAAACCGCAAAAATTCTCTTCCCTATTACCTTCGTTTCTTATGTTCTCGCGAAGGTCGATTTCGTCTTACCGGCCTGACGTTTGATCCTTGAATCTCGTCGTTTTGTGAGCGTGCTAATGATATTCTGTCATTTTACGTCGAGGACGACAATCAGCTTTTCTCATTACGTACATCCCCGGGAAGTTGTACGTTGAGATAGCATTACGAATGGACGGCTGCGATTGCGAGCATGCTATAAGGCTTAAACTTTCAACGTCTCGCTCGTCTCGCTTGTTCTCCGTCGCGATTCTCTTCGAATTAGACGATCAATTTCCTCATTCGAGGATCGAGAGCCGCGACAGCGAGAAGCGATACTAATATGTGGTACGCGGGTCCTTTAGCTAAGTAATGTGCACCGCAGCATGTCTGGTGACAGAAAATGCACTAGCAGATAATTATCGTAATCTCCTGCACTGCGCAAGGTAAGTTCATGTAGAAAAAAGTAATATATTTAATATCCGTAACGCGTTGTTGGTTTGCCATAATTGGTCCCCGCAAAATGTTTGTTGTAGTTGAATGTTTGAACGTTCAATAAATGTTTCCCTTTTTTCTCTGTAATTATACGGCGTTGAGCATGAATCATTTTTTTCGATATAATAAAGACTTTCGCCAGATCGTTATCTTATTAACCTTGTCAGCGATATCCAACAAGCCACTTTACCGATCACCCACGAAGCGAGAGTCAGAAAGCGAGATCCTGCATCTGCAAATCGGGCCCAAACGAATCGTAGAACCGTGAAACGAGTCTCCTTGCATAATCGGATCCCCTCAATTTCCGCGACGTAATATGCGGGGAACAACGTATCTCTTCCGGTAATTTGAGCATACCCTCGGCTTTCATTTCACGCGTCGTCCTTCGCACCTGCGCTCGGCCGCACCGTAGACTCATCAAGTGGCATAACGAGACGTAATGAGAAAAAGAGACAGAGAGAAAGAGAGAGCGAGAAAAGAGAAGATCACTAACCGAGGCGTGCGGAGATAGAACTTGTACTTCCTCCTTCCGCGAAACGTAGACATACACAACTGTATATTACCGGTTTCCTCGCGCAGAGAATCTTCAGCCTTGGAACACAAGCACGAGGAGGTCCGTGATGGTGATTCGGTGAAAGCGATTTCGACGAGGCTGCTTGGCCTCGTGGCGGTTTGCAAACTCGTTTTATGCGTAACCTTACTTAAGTTACTCCATTGCGCGTAACAGGTGTTACGAGGTCGTCAAGGCGACAAGGTTGCCTTTTTGGTCAGCGACGCAGACACCAGAAGAGAGACAGAGACGGAGAAGTGAGGATCAACGCTCTCTCGATTCTTGGCCTTTGACCAAAACCGATCGGTCACGCACGGTCAAGTTCAATCAATTTTTTTCCTTTCGATCATGCGAATTAATTCTTATTCGTTTCCAGTTTTTCAAAAAAAAAAAACATGAATTTGTTCAAGTCAAGTTAAGTCAAATGATTTGCAAATTTCTGAGATACGATTCATTCGGAATTCTTTTTTTAAATTTTCTAAATTCTTTTTTAAACGGCGAAAGTCGTCAAAATATATGGCACGCATAAAAACGGAGTATATCTTTCTTGGCGATGAGAGGAATTATGTAAGACGTTCCTGCAACATCATTGGAGAATTCAGCGCCAAGAAATATTTATTGGAGAGTGACAAAATGATTGGAAGAGTCGAATTTGGTGTTACGAGAGTAATCATAAAATTTCATTTCTCTTTGCGATTAACGGCAGATGTTGCCACTTTTTAAAACCAGAACGATGATGAGAATCGCAGTTTTACTTCGTTACCAGAACTGTCTCTTGACAAATCAATGCTATCTAAGAATGTCAAGTGTCATCAAGCTCGTAATAGACGAAAGGAGCAGGAACTTTCGTCATAATTTGTGCAAAATTTAATATAAGAAATAAGAAGGAACGCATAATTGCATACGAGTAATGCATTAGTGATGTCGATTTTAAAAAGAAAATCGATTTTCTTAAGAATTGATTAATTAAATAAAATTCTGAATATAAAAAAGAATCGATTCTTTCGATTCTGTTTTTTTAGTAAATAAATTTGTAAATAAGAAAATGGATATAATATACGTATTAACAAAATTTATAGACGAGGTACAATAATTGAATTCATAAATTTCATAGAAATAATTATTATTTATTAGTTTATGGCTTAAAAACTCTTTATTTAATAACACATATCTTTGAAAAATTGGATCGGTTCCGAAAGAATCGAGAAATAAAAAATGGATTTAAAATCGATTTTTCAAGAGCAAAAAGATTTTCGATGCATCAATTTAAGAATCGACATCATTATAATACATTTCGATGCTCAACGCAATAAAGCTTTGTTCGAAGCTGGTATACGTTATCGTTGGCAAATAATATATTATTATAGTTTGATGATCGCTGAATTAATTTAGGAAGATTCATAATCGCTCTTGTGAATATACAACTCTTTGTTTTCGATATTTCTTGTACCAGCCCAATTGAGAAAATGCACGATTGAATAAAAAATGCAGTACCCCGCAGTGCCGTGCGCACATTTTACATAATTCTATAAAAGATAGCGGGGTAGAGAAGAAAGGTATCGGTAACGGTATTAAAATATTCGCGTACGACGCAAAAGAAGTGAATGGCGGGCGAATAAATTCTTTCTGTGGAGAAACACGGATATCGGGGGAAAGCCTGTACATCTCGCACTTTATAACATTTTGCACTTGTTAATGCGCGCCACTCGGCACGAGAGAGAAAACGTAAGTCTCGTGCTGTGATTAATGTCATGACACGCTGAAAGACGAGGTACGTTAAGTCTAAAAGTAAGACCTCGTCCAAATTAAAGTTGTAGCTCAGGAAAGCGCAGCTGCTTTATCGGGACAATTTTGAAGATGAACCAGCGATTAGCGCAGATAATAAATGCGAAGTACAATTTAATTCTCTGGGAAATAAAACCTCTCGATCGCCGAGGCACATTTTTAACGCGGTTGATAAAACTGAAGAAGCAAGATTGATGCATCTCGCAAGCATGACTTCTATTTGACGGACAATACTTTCGCAATAGTTTCTATTTCGAAATCTCGTGAGAGATAAAAATTCGCGATAACAAGGCGATAAAAATTGCGCACGCGAATATCTTCATCTGTAATTTACCAATTAAGAACGATCGTATCTCATGCCAATAACTAGTCGTCGTGAGTTTTGATGCAACTAAATACAGCAACATAAAGATGATAGCATTCTAGGTCAAGCGGCCATTCGTTCCTCTTGATAGTCATTAAACCCGACCATCTGCATTTAATTACGCAACACGCAAAAACTGTTGACCCCCTCCGGACGTCCTTGGCGAAAATTTATCTGGGGTTGAAAGGAGAAGGGTGTGCAAAACAAATTTTCCCCGAAACTCGTCGGTATTCCCTGCGGGAACGAACTCTCGTAATATCTCTCGATATCTCCGTTAAATACTTTTTTCACGGGGCATTAATTTGGACGAGAAGACGTCCGCATAGGGAGAGATGTCCGAAAGAAGTTTTTAATGACGCGATCTACAACGTTCCAGTACATTTCACTAACCAACTGCAGGCTTGTATCGATATGATTCTACAGGCAATGATATGCTGCTGTTTCAAAAATTAAATAGTATATTTAATATTTGAAATAAAATTGAGTCAACGCTCCAAAGTCGATTTCTATTTTAAAAACTTAAGCGATAAAACATAAAAAGTAAACGAATTGACCAAGTAGAGATTCTAAAGGTTAAAAACTTAAAACGGTAAAAAAGAAGAAGAAGTATCAAATCCAATATTTTGTTGATTTTCTTATTGCTTAAGTTTTTCTGCGTGCCATGACTCTTAGCAACACGATCTTAAAATACACGCTTCGATGCCAAGTTTGATATTTTCATGTTGGACTTAGCCGCTGTCACTGACAATTATTTTTGAACGCTGCTGTTCATCATTAGGGCGTTCTCGCTTTTAAATTGATTATAATCAGAATGGAGGCGGAATCCTTTTGGGAGCCCTAATGGCTTCCATTCGGATCCCCCATTCATTTTGCGGTCGACTTTATTATCGAAGCTGCGTGCGATCTTGCCAAAGCACACGTGTGCTACGCGCAAAACCAAGGGAAACGTGACAGAACACTAGGGGACTGGAAAAGCGAGCACTTACTAATCAAAGGGTGGAAGACGTAGGGGATGAGGTCAGTTCTACCCGCCTCCGACGGGTGGAACAAGGTGACGAGGGTTCTGTAATTAGCAGCTTTGAAGTGATATCACCCTCGCTACTCATTAGCGACGTTCAGGTGCTCCGAGTGTTAGCACTCCGAGGGATACTTTTGACAGTAGAATCACAGATGGAAATTACACGAATCGTTGAATGGATCTCGCGCTGATGAATCCAAGAATCCTCAGAAATCGTTGTCGAATAATGACGTTAGAAGGATGAGAAGGATGGAGAAAATATGGAAGAGAGAAAGAAAAAAGATTAAAATTTGATTGAACGAGGGAAATCGGGAAAGCAGTTTTTATTGCAATATATCTCGATGATGACGAAGAATCTGCCACAATCCGCTGACGTAAACGTTCCGGAAATGAAGGCGACTGGAAGTACAGAAATTAATTTCCTTTGCTTCGTCTACCCGCGCTTCCACAATCGCAACAAAGATGGGCGAATCGGAATAACCGTTATTATAAATTTGTAGCGCATAATTTAAAGTCCTTTAATGTTAGGCATTAAATATGTGTCCACACTATGAATTCCACTACAAATTTATAAAGAGAAAATCTCTCAAGTTTTTAAACTCTCCGGCAACTGGAATCTTTAAAGATATTTTTAATTTTGATAAATAAATTTAAATATGTAAAAAATAAGTAAAACATAATCCGACTTTTATGATGATAAATTCATTGTTAAAACTTTGACAAGAATATATTAGAATTTTTTCAGATTTTTATATAATCTGGAATAATGAATAATTTGCTTCGTTTCTCGAAAACTCCTATTGTTGATGAGAGTTGAAAGTTCATGTTGAAGGCGAAGGGTTAAATGATCGTCGAAATATCTTGCAACGATCAACCCTTCCATATGTCAATTCAGAATGTTCAGATTTCAAGAATAAGTTTTTCGTTTGTTGCAGGTTATTACACCTATTTCTATTACTAGACATCCGGTAATCGTGGGACTGCAACGTGAAGACGACAACAAAGAAAATGGTAGTCAAGGTTTTGGACGTTACGGCTCGCAGATTCTAACTGGACATTATGGTAGACTAATAGATCAACGTTACATGGTGGTGCGTGTCCACTGAAGGAAGGAGCCTTAAAGTAGTTCTTTTCTTCTTTTTTTCTATTTAACAATAGCCTCTCCTCCGTGATTGGTGGCGTGGGAGTACGCCTACTTCCCGTGAACTTTGCTAGATTTCGTAAAGTTCGCAGGGTAAAGGAGAGCTATTAGCGCAGTGTACAAATAAAGAAATACGTGCGATTATTGTTATTATTATAAGATTTTTTTTCTAAAAGTATCAAGTTTCTTCTTGAGGCATAGCGTAGTGCACGAAATATTTTAAGATAAAAGTTCAATAGCTTAGTAAATTAAATCCTTTTATTTCCTTATCTCTTTCAATTAAGGATCACTCGAGGACGCACCCTTAAAAACGCCAACGAGACCGATAGTTAGCAGCTAAATATCGGCCATATCGACATTGATATTACGCCACTTACTGTTTTAATTTCGATATCTAATGCGGTAATCCCGTATACGAGCAACGAGAACATAATAAAGTCCGCATAATAAAGTCTACGAAAGTACAAGTCGTATTTTATGGTGCATTAGTACGGGTATTCGCGCCTCCGCGATAATGCTGAGGCGTGTATAATTAGTAGCAGCCAGAAAGGACCGTGCACTCCTGACAGTGCGATCCTAGAACAAAAGCGAGCGGGACTGAATAGCGAATCCGCTCCGCGCCTTACAGTCGAGAGATATCCGCTTATGAAACAAGACCTGGTAAATAGAGGTCCGGCGCGCACACCGCTGGATCCACTGAAAATGATTAAAAGGCGGTGGTATATTTCGTGCCGACTGGTAAATTATTTATCGCGACAGCGATGGCAATTTAATTAAGTGTATATTCTAAATCTGTAGCAGTGAAATTTCATTGTAGGCGTTAGTGGCAATTGAGCCAATGCTACTGCCAGTGAATTTTACTGCAAGGTAATAGTGAAGATTAGAATAGAAGGAGATTAGAATAGACAGAATAATGTCATTCCAATGGATAGGATAATTTCGGCAAATACGTCACGCTGGGATTTATGTCGCAGAAGTCAGAAAGAATAGGAGTAGGGGTAATTTTTCTACAACTACTCTCTGTTGCTTGCCTTTATATTAATATTGTGTTGTGATTTCAATTTCTTACTGTCAATATTATTGAAATTATTGTGAGTTGAATCGATTTGTCACTGTAATAAGTGGCGTCATCATAAATTATAATTTAATTTTATTATATTAATTTACATTAATTATATTAATTTATATAAAATGATTGCTGCAGGGCGTGTAAATAACTTAGTGAATTATTTCGTGATACATAAATGTAGAGAAATAGTAAAGCATGTTGTATAACAAAATAGTATTTTGCTTTTATATTCTTTGTTTAGTTTATTGTCTTGTATATTTCACTTGTTTGTTATATACTTGTTTGTTATATACGGCATTTTTAGCGGACGGAATTTATGCCCAAAGCATACAAAATGCTCAGATTGGATTCAGTACACTAAATGCAATAAACGCATTTTTTTTTTTACATGAAATATGTACTTCATGTGATAACACTTGTAATATATGTAGGAAGATTATAACTATTATCTATTATTTCACATACATATTTATCATTCTTATTCCTTAATTAAACTTTGTAAACATGTTTTATAAATTATTGCATCATTTTACGTCTTATTCATAAACATTATTTGTAAATTTTTATAAATCATAACACACCCCCCTATGAGTAGTCAATACCTCATCCCTGTGGGACATACGGCAAAAATGCAAGGGTTTCTTTTTTTTAACACGAAAAATAGATATTTCGGATTTCTAATTTTTTTTTCATAGTATGTACAACTAAGTACTTCTCAGTTTTTTCAGACAGTACAAAGTTTTTACTGATATAATTCATTTTTCTTAAAAATAGTAAATAATACTTAATAAATTAAATTTTTGTAACATGCGGCGTATTACTCTAATCAATTAAGATGTCCGTAATGACCATAGCAAATGACATAGCGCATCTAGCGGTGCTAAATTCACTCCTTGCAGTAACATTCCATGCATCTTGCATTGCATTATCAACTAATGCTTAAATCACTTCGGTTGATCGAGTGAAAAAGTTTACTCCTTACCTAAGAGTAGACAGATTAAAAATCCACACTTAAAACAGTGACTTTGCTACTCAATTTTGTTAGTGGAATTTTCATTGCTACAGATTTAGAGTGTAGGTAGCCGTTTTCGGGCAAACAACCCTTTACAATCTGCCAGTTTCGTGTTCAAATTGTTAATGCTCGGCGTTTAGCTAAATACTTGACGCGTGACTTAATATAAGTAATATATTTAATATGTAAATATGATAGAGAGAGAGAGAGAGTAAGGAAGTGGTATGTGAGGCCACGAATCAATAGCGGGGTGCCGCCGTCGCTTTCGTTTCCGTGAAATTCGGTCATGGTTCTTTAAGCGCGAAAGATACGTTCTACGTTGGTGCATTTAAATGCCCGGCTTGTCGGCCAATTTGTTCCGCACGCGTCCGGTTTTAATCGCACATAGTGGTAAAAATACACCTGATATGAGTCCGCAGCTTCATTGATCCGTGGCCGAAAAACACCCACATTCCGGTTGATTGGCTCGCTCTTACATAATTTTCACATGTCATAGTCGATCTTAGATTTTTTTTATATAAGTTTTTATATAAAACGTGTAAATATTACTTAATCTATGGAAGTGAAATAAAATTATTATCTATAAATCCGTAGTTTTGTTTTATTTCAAACTTGCTATGAAAATTTTACACGTATTTAGTTTTAATTCAATAGGTAAATTAATTAAGGAAATGAAACATAGTACGTATTAGGAAATATTTTGAAAATAGACCATGCATTGTATGAATATTAAAAATTTTTTTTCTTAAACGGTTCAGGAAAAATCAGTTTCATTCTGTAGAAGACGTGTAATGTATAGTGTATAATGAAACATGACACACGCACATAGCACCATAAAAAAATATTTACATATCAAAACTGTAATAAATTATTATATACGTATTTAAAGGTGAGTGTATATTTGTGTGTGTGTGTGTGTGTGTATATGTGTGTGTGTATATTTGTTTTTTATTACATAATTGATATTGATTATAGCAAATTATTATTAGTAGATTAATTACTTTACAAGACATGATGAACTCAATATAGAACGTAAATCGAAGCCGGGAACGCTCTCCTTTCATTGCTCAAGGAGACCTCGTCCCGGAATGAAATTTACCAATAAAATGATAAACACGACGGGCGGCGTTCTTATCCGCGACGAAATCTACGGTGCACGACGCTCGCATGACGACGATAATTACCATTGGGCGCCATTATCCGTTCGTGTATTAGTAATTACGAAAGTTTCCTGCAACTGTTTGAGCGTACACAGAATATTCAAACACATACACGCGTTTGACTCTATGTAAGACTCTCACTCGATCTTTGCGAACGGAGAAACTGTGTCTTGTAATGTGTAACGAAAGTACATTTACGTCCAGTCGCGCATTAATGAGAAAAGCGTGAAAATTAACAGCTCAAAGCAAAATGAATAGGTATATCGTGGAAATAAACGGAACACTGTTTGCGATGAAAGTCTAAACAATTTGTCAATCATACGATTATACAGTTGTCTGAAAATGCAATAAACGGCTATACAGATTCCTAATCTTATGCTTCATATCTCGAAACTGCAACCGGTTTTAAAATTTCTTGAGATATGAGAATAGTTCTTTATCAGGGTCCTAATGAGTTTCTGTCTAGAGCTACATCCGTCTGCACAATCCGCAGCTGCATGCAAAACCAGTTTCGTTTTAATCATACATGAAAGCTATGCAATTTATACAAAGCATATCGACCGTATTATTTACACTAATAATAATTGATAATAATTGATGAATACTCGGGTGATTACTAAAGATACAGTTAACCCGAGAATTCTCGGTGTTTTATATTATTTCTTAGTTTATACAGAACACGTTACACGTTTATCCAATAATCACAAAATGAATGTGTCACGAATAGTGGATAGACGAACGTGTATTTTCACGCACGATTCGTTAATCGTTACCAAGTAAAAACATTTCGAAATGAATAAAACGGGGTATTCGCGTGGGATAAAATCGGTCAAACCCTCATGAGAATATGACCGATTTTATTTATGCATCTACATGCAAGAAATGCATGTTTAGCGGAAATTAAAGAAATTGCGGCGCCGTGATTCCTCTCGTAAAACCGGTAGGATTTTCTATCTAAGGAAAATGGTGCAAGATTTATTACGATATTACGGCACTGCGGTATGCTGATTGCATGAGATTCGTGATGTATCATATATCCGTGCGAAGATAAGGATCTGCTAGAGTCCGCTGAGAATGCTTGCTTATTCATTCTAGAGCTAACTAGAGCCACGTGTTTGGCAGCTTAGAGATTCGAAAGCGCATGGAGAACGTCGATACAGAGCTCGACTCGTCATGAAATAGAATCATCTGCGACTTCAAATGAAATAAAATGAATTCGATGAATGAAAAAATATTTTATGGGAACCTAACGATACCATTGTCATCTCTTTCTAAGAAATTATTGTTTAATGATGACTTACATTTTTATAAATTAATATATTACATCGAAATAAATAAAAGATGTCTTATCTTAGATATGAATCCTATTCTTTGTAAGTTTGATGTCTAAAATAATTATCATTCTAATACGTATTTGCATAAAGGAAAGTAGCGTGCCTTAAATTATGTAAGTCAAACATTCATAGCATTGCCACGTTATCCTCAGCAGAAAATTAATGTACGCTTTACTGCACATGTAGCGCTATATTAACACAGCACGATAATGCAGCGCATAATCAGTATTTATGAAATCGCGGCTCCACAAGCGCTTTGCACAAAGATCTTTGCGCATTCTGCGCTTAAAGATGTAAGACGTTAATCTAATGGGGGAGCGAGGATGGGCCAAGTTGTGGGGAAAGTTTTCTTTAAGGCGAAGATGGCGAGACGCCGATTTCTGTCTCGTTCGTCGTGAAGACGATGTACTTGTCGATCCGTACAAATCGATGCCACTTTCCGCTTCCGTGACGAGGAAACGTCGTTCGCTCGCTCGCGCGCCACTTTTGCCTCTCCTCTGAGTATCGGGCACTTCCAGTCTGCCGAACAAATGTTCAATCGATTATCGGGCGAGCATCGTCGTTGCAGCCTCGCCTGCATCGCCATTTATCGAGTAGCTGTCGGGTTCACGTCGCGGCGAATTTCTAAAGGCCCAAGATCCGCGTTTCACTCCTTCCAGGCGTTATTATTACCGCGCAGTGACTACGCGCAATGGCCGCACGTCAATCCTGAAGGCATTCATTTTCAATTAAGGAACGCTCCGGCGATCGATATTTACAATCAGCCTACCATAAGTACTAGTCTTTTAAAATACAACGATAAGACAGCGATTTGTTCGTTGAAGCTTAACTTGTCAAGTCGTATTTTTGTTGCAAGAAACTCCGTAATAAGGATCCAACATAATTTGTTAATATGAAAGCAAATTTATTGAAAAATGCGATAAGTTTTACCACACACATATTTAATTTAATTTAATTTAATTTAAATAATTAGTTATTTTTCATTTTATTAATTTATTGTAACAATTTTGCACAGCAAATTGACAAACAATATATATAATAATTGAATTCTATGTAAATTCGATGCGTTGATGTTGTACTTTGAAGATATAAGATTTAAAACATTCTAGCGCATAGAATATTGCGTTACTTTCTGAGTATAACTACCATTTATTATAGATCATATTTTTTTTAAATCCCGTGTTATATTCTCATTAGTATTTACAAGAATTCTTAGTGTAATCGTGATAATTATTTTTTGGAATAATAAGATAGATAATATGTAACATATCGTCGGATTTTCGTTACAAACGACATTCGCGTCATCTAATTAAACTATAAAGGCCTTGGTACATACAAAAACTTAAGACGTAAGACTTAAGCAGTAAGGAAATCAACATGTTGGATTCGTTACTACTTACGTATGGTCTTACAGTCTTTATTGTGATTAGGGTTGCCGCAC